ATATCTGCACAAATAAATTCAACTGGTCTTACCTTTACATCTTCTGGAGCTGGCAGAAATTCAGGGTCCTAGAGCAAAAGAAAATTAGTTCTGAGTTATTTTTATAAGTCAAAAAGCTCATTTTTATATTAATTGAAGAAGATTACTTAAATTTTGTTATGCCAAGTATGGCCTTACCAAGTAATTCACATAATTGTTCAGCTGATCAACAATATGTATAAGTTGATGCATTCTAATCAAGAAGCGATCTGGCCCTTGAAGTCTTGACTTATGGGCTACTGTCCCCGAGAAGATGACCATCAGGCAGAGGACTGTCCTCTCCATGTTGCCAGGACGGGGTCTCTTAAGTGCTGGAGAGCAGGGCCTGGGTCTCAGCTCTCACTTCAGTTGGACTGTGAACAGGTTGTCAGTAAAGCTACCTATTTATTCATCCTTCAGGGAGAGGTAAAGCCCTCCCATCGCAGCCTGGAAATCTTTGTAAAGTGGATGAATGTGAGTAACTCTGTTTTCTTTTCCACTGGCTAGGTATACGTGTGCATGTGCTAATGTGTGGGGGCAGGGATTGATGGAGTGAACGAAATGTGCTCCATCGGCAACTTAGACAGGAAAAAGAGAGAGATGGGTGAATTCCAATTTTCAGCATGAATCAAAAAGTGTGCATGGTAAACAGTAGGTGCTACAAGACTTCAAAGAAGTAAACAAAAACACTTTGATCTCACTCTGTGTGCGTCTCCTATCCTCTTACCTGTCACCCCTGACACTCATAAGGCACTTCAATAATGAGTAACGTGGCCGCAGTGCGTTCTCGCAGGACTTTTTCTTATGGTGATAGCTATGCCTTTTGACTGAAATCTTCCAGTATTCCATCATGAAGGGTAGGAGGAGAGCCACCTTTTAGGAAATTTTAAGTATCAGGGGTATTTTCCAAATTAGCAAGAATATTTTAGACTCTTAATCAGGTTAGAAAGTTTGAAGGAGAATTTGCTTCCAACTCTTGCCCAGGGCATCTTTCAATAACGTTCATCTTGGCTTCTACCATTTTACTTAAAAACCTGATATATACATAGAATAAATGGTTCTCAAGGACTCGACAGAAATTAATCTCCCACCCCTCCCCCAACCAAAATTTCACTCAATCTTCATAAAAAAAAAACACTTTCATATCCAGCTCCTTTATATAATTCCCCAATTAAATGAATTAAAAGTCCAAAACAAGTGTTTTTCAAACAGCAAAATTAAAAATACCCCTAAATGATNCACACGTGTGGAGCTAAAAATGAAGTAAATGAGCTAAAACCCTCCCTTTGGGGAAAGGAAGTGAGTGCCTACCTCTGATGGCATCGTCCCCATCTAAGAGTCAGTGCCCTTGCCAGGGACCTCACGTGACTTTTCTAAAATTCTGGTCCACTCTGAGGTCAGGTTGGGTGAGCTGCTGCCTGAATGAAACAGCCAAGGAGCAGAATTTCCTCCCAGCCAATGGGAGGGAAGACCTTCCCTTAGACAGTGAGGAATGGAGAGAATTCTCAGGGGATGGAGAAGTGGACAAAACAAGGATCAAAACGTGTTTCTTGGTTTAGTCAAAGAGCTAGTGACTAGTGAATAAGTCAAAATCTTAGAAATCGAACCGAAAATGAAATGGAAATGAAATTCTGTTCTTTAGAAGAACAGAATGTATACTGACTTGTTGAAAACTTTTTAATGCTAATCTAAGAACTTGTACCCAAGTCACTTTCCTTTCGACAAGTGTATGCATATGGTGCTATCCCCACTCCCCCCCCCACCCCCAGAGGTGCCATGTCTTCATTTCACTAATGTGTATGGAAGCCACTGCCATATAAGCAGAAACGTCAACCTCTCTCAGTTCCTACGAGGGCAGTCCCATGCGGAGCACGATGACCCAGTCGTCTCATGGACAGTCAGCTGAAAATAGCATCTGGCCTGCTTTGCAATTTCCAGCCCCTCGGCTTACCCAATCTGAATGTTGATTAATAACATGCATCTGTCAAACACGGCCCCCTCGGGCTTGCTTTGCATACACGGCCACAAGCCAAGAACCCGCTTATCTGGTTTCCTTCTAGCACAGCAGCTTGCCTCTCCTTCAGCCAAGGCAGCGTCCTTTCCATATGTTTGCCAAAATGCTTATTTAATAGAAACTATTCATGAATGTTCATTATAGCACTTTTTTTTTTCCTTGAAAACCACATGTTCATGTTTGTTGAAGTTTTTTCTTTTCTCTTCTTTTTGACCACAACCGGCTTAACTTACTGGAAAAAAATAATATTCATATTTAAAGAGGTAAATTTTCCAGCTGAAACTGAAAACGCTAACTGCTTCATCCGTGCTGATCTGAGAAACCAGCATTTCTCACAGAGGCCCGTTTTGCTGAGTTAACATTTACATGTGTGTGTTGAAAGAAAATTAGGTTCCAAAGAAGCAGAGGGGCCCTACCGAACAAACTCCCTTGAGACAATACTGCCAGGAGTGGACAAGACCAGTGATGACAGGTTTTACATCTGAGAACGCCTTCCCAAGAGCCTGGGTGTGGCACCTGGGCCCTGCTGCCCGCACTCACGGGGCTGGGTTCTCTCCCTTGCTCCTGCCGTCTCAGTGGACCACGGCATTTCGTTCTGTGCCTTCTGCAAGCAGTAGCACTGCCCCTGGCAGTGTGCGTGCAGGACAAGGACCTGCTGGCTTTGACTTCCCACGCACAGCACAGGCTGCCTCAGAGGAGGTGGAGGGGCTGCCCGCCAACTGCAGGAAGGATGTGCTGAAAAGGACAGTGGAGAGAGTGACCTCCATCCAGAGAGCCGCAGGTCCCAGCACTCGTGGGTTTACCAGATGACTCCAAGGTCATGTGCAGCACAATCTGGGACATAAGCATGGCTTTCCGTGCTGTGCCTTGGGGACAGCAGACTCTGAGGGTGAGGCTTTGTTCCCTTCATCCTTTAACACATGAAAAC